AAATGCCCATTCAAGGAAATCTCAGGGAATTAATCTAATCAACTAAATTTGCCAAACAGTTAGACCAATTCTAAGTCATTTTCGTTCCATACAAACTCATGCTTCCTTCACCATAATCTAAATGACTAATTTTTTTCCCCTTACATTGAGAGGATCCAAGTCCTTGTTCCCGAGGTTTCACCACAAATTGTGGAAGTGAGTGAAACAGAGGTGGCTAGTTTATCCCGTCCCTTTCTGTTTGCTGTCAAATGTTGTTATTTGGATATGGTAGTGTGTGTGTGTGTGCTGAGTTGAATATTAATAAAAATCCTTGTTTAAAAATTTAATTGGCTAAAAGGGCCTAAATTTGAGAAAGTGCAACTACAATTTGTGAGTGCAACATATCTTCCGTTGTGTACAACATATCATTAATGATGTGCAACAATCATCAATATGGAAGTCATTTGCACACAACAGAAAATATGTTGCATTCACCGATCATGGTTGCATGTGCTCAAATTTAGATCCTGTTAACTAATTAAATTTTCAAACAGGATTTTTTACCAAATTTTCCATAATACGTTTGCAATTCCCGCCAATTGCATATATATTTTTGATAGGAGATCATGATCATGACCTTGGTGTGGATGTTATTTTCTCAGATATATTCATCGTAAAGAATAAACACTGCACGATTGTCTCAGTGAAGCCGACCAAGATCTGAAAACTGAGCCACAACCAAACAAACAGTGGGGCATATGGTCAATGGCCGGTGATCCCCAAGAATAAAGTTAATATGTATGAAATGAATCTCTTTAAACAATTAAAAAAAGTAAGAAATCAAACACTTATCAATCCTCTATTCTGGGTGTGACTAGAATCTATGACCCTTTACAAACACAGTATAATGATACAGTAGAGTAGTAGCTTGTTGTGAAAGAGAAAACTTGCCGGGAGGATCATGCTGATTGTAATGGAGATTCATGATTGCTAAATAATACTGAAGTTGACGATGATCTTATGAACTATATGAAGATACAGGTAGACCCGAAAATGAGATGAGATTGAAATGTATAGAATGCATATATAAACAAATATATAGGTATAGGTGCATGAATGGTGGACAGCTATGAACAGTATGAAAGCGCGTGGGAGAAGGCAGATTCGGGGAAGGGATCTACCTTTCCAATGCTAAGGTTGCTTGATGCTCCGTGCTTCCCTTTTAAAGTGGACTATATTATCAACTGTGCCTTCACCATTTGAAATGAGAACCAAAGATACGGACAAGAGAGGAATCATTCGGTGAGTAGCTTTATTCCTAGGGGTCCACCAAATGAATGCGATAAAGTTTTGATTGACCGACCCATATTTTTGGCTCTGATTTTGTAGGGATTATTTAACAAAAAAAATAAAGAAATAAAAAACAAAAAGAAAGAAGAGAAACCCAAAAAAAAAAAAATCAGTTAATTTTTATGGGTAAGACCAGCCCATATTGTTACTGAATCATCGAAGATTTGCATTATCAGTTACAGTCTGTTGTATATTAGGTGCTAAAATTGGGTTTGATTACACTGTACGTGGAGACATGCTTAAATGTATGAACCAACTTCAACATGCTAAGGTGATTTAGGCGTTATAAGTAAATTCGCAAAGCAATGTTCATAAATAAATATTGATGATAGGAACAGAGAGGCAGAGACAAAATAGATATATGATAACGAAGGATTTTGAGAAGTAGATTGCTAAGTTATACGCATACAAATACATATATATAGGTTGGTGGTAGCGGCGGCCAAGGTAGCTTAATGGAAGGTTCGAATAACATTGTGAAAACTCGTGGTGAAGAAAGATGAATGTGAATAGCCTTTATATAAGGCTGCTTCTTGTTCTGTTTCTCTCTGTTTATATACTCAAAGGACACAACAAGAGTAAGCATATTAATAAAACTTTGTCATTGCAAGTGTATAAGCAAATGTACTTTCACGTTAACATTTGCTGTTTCATTTAATAAGTTATTTTATTTGACCCTTCAACTTATAGTGAACTACTATACAATGCTACATTCTCTCTGTTTATATACTCAAAGGACACAACAAGAGTAAGCATATTAATAAAAATTTGTCATTGCAAGTGTGTGAGCAAATGTACTCTCACGTTAACATTTGCTGTTTCATTTAATAAGTTATTTTATTTGACCCTTCAACTTATAGTGAACTACTATACAATGCTACATTCTCTCTGTTTATATACTCAAAGGACACAACAACAGTAAGCATATTAATAAAAATTTGTCATTGCAAGTGTGTGAGCAAATGTACTCTCACGTTAACATTTGCTGTTTCATTTAATAAGTTATTTTATTTGACCCTTCAACTTATAGTGAACTACTATACAACGCTACATTATAAGTCCAATCATTGAACTAGACGACCACGTAGAGAAAGGCAAAAGAAAATTATCTATATTTAACTAGAATATGGTCTTATACCTTGGCAGATCTGCTGGGTTAAAGAGGAAACTAAGAAAAAAGAACGAGATATCGGACAATTATTGATCCGGTCATTATTTTTTTACCAATTTTTCATTGTAACTAATGTGCTTTTACATCTTTTGATTATTTTTTTGTGATTAAAATATCACAGTTTGACAGGCTTATAAAAATATCAGTCTTAATTAACAATGCATGTCAATGTAATATGCTGGCTCTGTGTGTGTATGCATGAATGATAAAATAGTTAAAAGAAAGAGGGTGACCTGATAAGTAATTCCCGTTTAAATCCAACAATTGAAGGTGGTGGAAAGGGAGAAAAGAAGAAGCATTTAGTGACCATTTGATGTGTCTCATCTCTTTGGCTCTTGTATTCTTCAGAAGAAGGCTTATGACTCCATGAGTGGAGTTGTCACACTGTACAGACTCCCAAGTGCAGCTATAAGAGAAGGTTTGATTATTCCAAGAAGGAAGATAAAAACCATTTGGATAATTAAGAGCTTCTTTCAATTTCAGAAGAGCTTCTCTTTCTTCTTTCAAGCACCCCCAAGCGCCTCCATTAAAATAGAAATATGAATATGATTATGGCCATCACCGACCACACCTCTTCTCTCACTAAATGCCCCATTTTTCGCCATATGCTTCCCCAATGCATGTCTTCAACTGCGTGCTGTTCATATATAGATATAAAGGAAGTATGTAAGGAGACTGTTTTGCCCTTTCTTTGCCTGAGAGACTCAAGTTGGGCATTATGTTCCAAAACTCAAATGGTCTTATTTGTGGAGAAATGGAAGAGAGGCAAAATAGAAAGCTCCACTTCATATCTGACATAGACTTGCTCGTTTGGTCAGAAAAATCAGAAGAAAAAAAAGGTTAACATATTCCTTCCCCGAAACACATGATTATATTGGACTTGAACAGTTGCCAACAATGTGCACCACACAAGTTGTTATATTCCTATCATTGTTATGCACAATCAATGCGTTTGCTTTGGCATTTTGATCTGCAACGCATCATGGGGGATCTTAAGGAGTGTGCATGACTTGCAATAATTTCAATTGCAAGGATTTATTTGAAAATCAGTATATAGCCGGACTAAATGATCAGTTCTTCCCCCCAAAAAACAAAAATCGCAATCAAAGTTCCACAAACTATCAATATTCGTTTAAGCTGACGAATTAGAAAAAGGTAAAAATTCCCTCCCCAGAAAGCACGATAGGGCTTATATAAGCTCTCGTTTTCTGATGCTGACGACAAGCTTTGTGTTCTTATCATGACTAATAAAAGTTAGTGCATGTGCTTTAACTTCTGCACAAATGGCTAAGTACCTGTACACATTCACACTAATTTCTAATCAAACCTATCAGTAATTTCTAATCATAAAGTTAAAATGAGACAAGTTGTGAGAGGAATTTAATTAATGTAGTTCCTTGTTGAACGAGTCACGAATCTACCCTGCAACTCCTATCCTACATCCCAAGTCTCGGATGGCTAAGTATCCGTACACATATCTCAGTGCATGCGCTTTTGACATTTCTGCACAATCAAACAAACTATGCACCCATCCATCAAAGGGAACCTAGAAAGCCAGACTGTATCGTAGACTGAGATTGCTGTGCAGCAAGTAAATTATACATCTAAACTCTAGAGTTTTCTATACGTTTATCTGTGTTTAGCACTAAAATTGAGTCTTAGTCAATCAGTTATGGTTAATTATTAGGATAATAACTCATTGAATTAATCTAAACAGGATTGGCGGTTTTGAATTTGATTGGTCAAAGACTCCTATGCACCAAGAATAGTACAACAACAAAAGTTCGCGAAAATAGATGACTGATATGTGAGGTCAAACATGCAAACGGCTAGCCAAATAAAAAATTATGTCCACTCAATTTTTTTTTGTCTTGTTCATTGGTTTTGGACTCTGTTTATTCTTGATTTTATAGTTTAATCATGGACCGTGCAGCAAAAGTTGTTGTAACGTATCTTTAAACATTTTAGTTGTCATCACATTTTATGCGAGCCTGTACATGCTTAAAGATTTGAAAGAATTGCATTATTTTTTGAAGAATCGTCTCTCATTTTTTTTTTATTCTCTCCCAAAATGGGAATAACACAAGTAAGGGGAAGAACAGCAAGATATAAGAGCAGCACAGAGTTGATAAAAAATATTGTGGGACTCAACATAGTAATAATTAAAAAAAAATAGCAGCACAGAGCTGCGCAACTGAAATTAAGAAAATGAAAAAAAAAAAAGGGACAGAACAATGCACGTATTAGGAATTGATCTAAAGAGAAATTAAGAAACCAGTAAGAGTTCGTAAAAGCAAATTAAAAACAAAGAGATTTTGATGATGACTTGTGATCTCACCCTCCCTAACAGAAGAAGCATCATTGGAGGGATACCCCGTTGGTGGTGAATGTGAAATCACCGGTAAACATAACATCACTAATTAGGATTGTTAATCTCATGCATCTATAGTTAATGGTCAGATATAGGGCAAACTGTGAAGAAGCTTGAAGGAATCATCACTTAAACTGCGTTTGGCAACATAGTATTCTCATCACAAACTGTATATGGTATGCTTATAATAGTAAACATAACAGGAGGTTCCTGTGGATGGTAGTAATTCATGGTTAAAAAATATTGAAGTTAAGTTGATTATCTTATGAACGATAGGAACAGAGAGGCAAAGACGAAATAGAGATAATAATAAAGGATTTTGAGAAAGAGATTGCTGAGCTGTGCACACACATGAGAAGTAATGATTCGAATATTCCAATTAAGTTTCCTTTTTGATCCTGAGAAGACTTGAAACCAGCAATCTGTTGGTTATTGTAATTCTAGAAAAGATCACCAGGCCATCTATTACATGATCAAAATCTTATGAACCATAATTAAAACTTTTGTCTTTTTTGCCACCACTCATACAAATAACTTGTTATATCTCTCTCTAATATGAGTAGTTTGTAATTGCAAATGTAAGGGTTCAAATGAAGAACTATAATGACACCTATAAAAAATACTGCAAATGCTCCGACAAAACTCCATAAGAAAGCATCTTGAAAATCATCTGCTTCCAAATGATGAGGTTGCCTATTTCTCCGTGCTATTGAGCAATTTTGCTGCAAAGGGGGACCATAGAGAAAAGGGTTTCCTTCATAACTGGCAGAATCAAAAGTTGCAAATTGATTTTTCATGTCAGGTGTTGTTCCAGATAGATTATTATGAGCCACTGAGAAGAAAGACAAGGAGTACAACTGAGTTAATTGTGTAGGAATGTGACCTGATAATTTGTTGTGTGAAAGATCAAGGCTTTCTATCTGCTTGAGGTTTGAAAACGTATCTGGAATACGCCCTTTTAATTGATTGTTTGACAAATTCAATGCATGGATAGTGCCTAAGTATCCAATTTGTGAGGGAATCTCACCTATCAATTGATTATCTGAGATATCCAACCCAGACATCAAATTTAAAATGCTTCCTTTGTAAGATTCACACCTGCTTTTTGTTCTAAAATCTACTTCTTGGTCCTCATACAATATATCATTTTGTTTTTCTTCTAGTATAAAAACTTCACCGGTCAAAGGGTTAAATGAATAAGTTGATGATCTTGTAGTCCATGACACAATAAAATATCCTATTTCAATTTCCCTTGGTGAATCTATCTTCCCAAATGTGATGTTATTCAAGCAATATGGTATGCCTCCGGAAAGCTTATTTTCAGAAAGATCTAATAAGCTTATATTCTTGAGCTTGCATAAATGCACAGGAATAGAGCCTTCAAGTTTGTTTCCCTTTAACATGAGGACCCTTAAACTCAAAAATGAGCTAATCAATCTTGGAATTTGACCAGAAAAATTGTTATTTGCCAAATCCAAAATCAACAGTGAGGGGGAATTAGCCAAAGGTAGAGGTCCCATGAAATGGTTGCCCTGCAAATGCAAATACTTCAATGATGGCATATTTGGACAACTTGGCAAAGAGCCATTGAATTTATTGTAAGAAAGGTCTAGATATGTAAGTTCAATCAAGTTCCAAAAGCTTTTTGGCAGTGGACCAGCTAAAGAATTCTTTGACAATATGAGGTAGCTCAAATGTTGAAAATTTCTGATCCAGCTAGGCATTTCACCAAATAATTGGTTGGCACTTATATCCAACATTCTTAATTCAGTACTATTCATGATCCCACCTTCTAGCTTTCCTCTGAAGTTATTGTTGTTGAGATCCAAAAACAACAAATATGTGAAATTTGATCCTATGGGCAAACACGGGCCACTCAGGTTGTTGTTTGACAACTTCAAAAATCCCAACTCATTGTTACCCTCCCCAAATTTTTGGGGCAAATAACCAGATAAATTATTATTTGACAAGTCAAGATCATTCAATTGTCTCATTTCACCTATTGAAGCTGGAAATCGACCTCGCAATGAAGTTGAAGACATGTCAAGAGAGATCAAGTTGGGAAAATTGAAGCCAATATGAGGAGGTATTTCATCTCTAATGGGGTTAGAGGAAATATCAAATGATTCCATGTGAAGCAATTTTGAGGTGGAATTAAGTTGAAAGGGACCGGTGAACAAGTTGTGCGTCAGACTTAAATAATTTAATCTCGTGTTGTTTGTTAAAAGCCATGAAGGGAAAGTTCCTGAAATGTTCAAGTGACTAAGTTCTAGGAATCGCAAGTCATATTGATAAAGAAGAAAGGTAGGCATTGTTTTCTTGCTGGTTTCATTCAGAGTGCAGTTGCGGATTGCAAAAGACCTCAATTGGAAGGAAGGGGTAAATGGGGGATTCTCAATTTCAAGACTGAGATTGGTGTTAAAGCATATAATTCTGAATATTTTGAGGTTGGAGTGGTTGGCAAGCAAAGACAGTGAAAATGATCCACTGAAATTGTCGTCAGAAAGAGTAATTGCTATTAGGGATCTCAAAGAATGAAAGAGTAAGGAAGGAAAGGTTCCTTCAAAACGATTTTGTGGAAGATGAAGTGTACGTAGAGACATCAAATTGCTAAGGCATGCAGGGAGTTGACCCTCCAGTTCATTGAAGGAAAGATCCAATAATGCAAGATTCTTCATATTGCAAAGGCCTCCTACAACATAGTGTTTTTCTTTATTAAATTTATTTAATCAGTCCATCAATATAAAGAAAATTTATAAAACTTAAAATAACAGCTTAATACTTTGCCGGCCAAAAAAAAAAAGGTTAATCCTTTAAACTTTAAGATTCGACGATATTTTTTCAAAAATTGGTTTCTGTGGTCTAAATTAATTTGCGAGCATGTTCGGCTTAACAAATGTATTTAAATTAATATTGGGCCCCAGAAAATAGCCCGAACATTGAGCCCAAGAATATAAGTAAACTAATAGGGTATATTATCACTAAGTGTTAAAATTAAATAAATAAGTATAGATAATGTATAAAGAAAAAGAAGAATAAAATCATTTTCTTTTATTAGTTTTATTTAGCCAGCGCCTGAAAGCGAAACTCATATTACTTGTTGTGCCAATACAGCTCGATCTCATCATTATTTTGTCAACTGTTATCTGCTTTGACACCCCCCCTTTTTTTTGGAGATGAATGCTTTGACCCCATTTTAAGCCACCAGTTTCATGAATACATCATGCGATAGATTTTAAGTAAAATTTTTTCTCAAGAAATTTGATGTTATTGGTGGAATACTCAATTAACGAATTATGTTTATTTTACTGCAGAAGGTATAAAATATGATTCGTACCTTGTTGTGGCAATGATCCAGTCAGGTTGTTTTCGCCTAATGTCAATGCGGTGATGGAAGTAAGGGACATGATAGATTCTGGAATACTGCCCTCCAAGAAATTCGAGCCAAGCGCCAGCTCCTTTAAATGGCGTGAATGATAAAGATCTGTCAAATGCCAATTGGATGTGTGCAGATTAAGTAAGTGCCACCTGATATATCCAGGCACATACATGGGGCATAAGTAGCAAAAGCCATTTGGATGGATCATTTATTTATATAAAATGTTTTAACGAATTGTCCCACTATTAGTTTTAGTCTTTATGTATTGTTAAACTTTGTTGATCTCGTATCTGCCAAGTAAGAAAACTTCATTTTATCTGTCAAGTTTGACAAACCATCATTCAATTCTCCAAAAAAAAGACACACAAAATCTTCCGCTGAGGTGACTATATATCATAAGGTAAATACTACCTCCCGTACTTAATAGTTTGAGTCTTAATTTAGTTTTAAATATAACATCTTAACTCATTTTGTTTCTTATATTTAATATTTTTTTAAAGTAGTCCTTATAATAGTTGCACATGTAAAAAATTCTATAACTGGTAGTTCTCGCTAATACACATAATTAGCCAAGGTATTCGAGGAAAAACAACATATATTTATTACAAATAACTAACTTAACTTATTTTTTTAATCTACTTAAATTAATCAACTAGCTCTTATATTAAGGACCAGAGGTAGTATATGAGTAAATTAGTTAACCTAAGACTTCCCAACAAAATCAAGAAAAAAAATTAGAAACTTTCATATATTTAATGGAGGAAAACTTTGTCTATATATTCCTTTTAGCATTTTTCTTAAAATGATGGCCCGGTAATCTTTTTTCTAAAAATAGATATACTTTTGATGCACGTTTCAGTAACTACATATGTCCCTCAAAATATGCTATAATATAGAAGACAAAGATTTAGCACCGAAATATGGAAATTCTGTGAGCATATTCTCTTCTAAATCCAACACTTCCAAGTTCACCAGCCTGATGTCGCCAAACAGCCCTGTCCCACAAACAGCATGTGATCAGTTACTGTGAATGTTAGTGGGTATAAAGAATTATAAAAAAAAATTCATATAATTAATATCATCATCCTCTTCATAATTTAACATGAAGTGGAAGTTTGATAATGTAGTTTTTATTAAGCTTGTTTTGGGCCCCTCCATATATCCAAGAAAATATCTTGCTTAGTAATTTATTTTTTAAAAAATATTTACAACACGAATCAAAACGTTTAGTATCTCAAACATTTTTTAAAATATCTTACTTGATTATATTTTTAAAAAATGAGTAATAAAACTTTTGGTACTCAAATTTAATGTCTCCGTTATCAATTTGGTCTGTGAAGTTTAATTTTTATCAATCAAGTTCCTATAGTTTCATACGCAACTTTACTCCCTCTGATGCTATCTACAAGATATAAATGATTAAATTATGTAGATTACATAGTTTGTTGAAATTGCTTAAAGGCAATAAATATGTAAAAATGTATTTTTTTTTCTAAAAATAATAAAAATGGTGAATGAGTGAGAAATTGAGTAAGAAAAAGATAAGTATGAGAGAGAATAAATGAAGTGATATAACATATAATTATTGGGAGAAAATATAAAAAATTGGTTCAAATTTCATAAATAAAGCGAAGTGAGAGTTATCATCCTTGAATTAATGGTTAGAGATGGCACATGTGCGTTTAGGATTATATATCTTCAAACCATAATGACTAATTTTGTATGATTACGAAACTTTAGGCACTTGATTTATAAAAATTAATTAAATTTCGTGGACCAAATCAATAAGTAAAGCAAATTTGAGGGACGGAAAGTTTCATCATTCCAATAAAAAATTATCCACAAATATTTAGCTAGAACTAGAATGGACTCTTACCCAGGCAAATCAGTGGGCTAAAAGAGGAAACGGACGAAAAAGAACTAGATAAGAGGCAATGAATGATATGATCATAATAATTTTTAAATAATTTTTTACCATAACTGATGTGCTTTTACATCTTCAAAAATCACAGCTCGAAATGCTTATAAAAATGTCGGTCTTAAATAACAATGTATGGTGTCTATGTACTCTGTGTGTGTGTGTGTGTGCATGAATGATAGAATAGTTAAAAGAAAGAGGGTGACCTGACAAGTAGTTCCCTTTCAAATACAGCTCTTGAAGCTGGATGAAGGGGAGAAAAGAAGAAGCATTGAGTGACCATTTGATGTGTCCCAACTCATAAGGTCTTGTATTTTTCAGATGAAGGCTTATGACTCTATGAGTGGAGTTGTCACACTCTACAGCCTCCCAAGTGCAGCAATCTGCAGAGAAGGTTTGGTTATTCCAAGAAGGAAGAGAGGAGCCATTTGGATAATTGAAAGCTTCTTTCAATTTCAAAAGAGCTTCTCTCTCTTCTTTCAAGCACCCCTCACTCTCTGCATGAAACGCTAGTAGTAATATGAATATGGTTATGGCCCTCCCCCACCAGACATCTTCTCTCACAGAATACCCCATTTTTCAGTATATGCTTCCTTGTTTGCCTACGTCTTCCATTACGTCCTCTCTATCTCTATATATATAGGCCAGAAGGAGGTTCAAGTTGCTCACTAGTTGTCTTTAATTTGGCGAGAAAGCACTCAGACTCAGAAAAACGTAACGATCGAGTCGGGCAGTAACCGAAAAAACACGACTGTAGTGCCGGGGGGGGGGGAATACAGTCAATGGTCGGTGATCCCCAAGACTTGTAAAGGTTAAAATTAATATACATTTATAAAATGAATGTCATGGAATAATTAAACAAATAAATCTGATCTATTATAAATCTGAAATATCTGATGAATTATTTAAACAACGTTGAGACAAATTAAAGCACAATTTTAGTGGAAAATATTTAGCCAACCCATAGTGCATGGCCTCATGTAGGCAATAATGGTTTGTCCTTGTACGGCCTGAGGGTCAGGAATTAACCACAATCAACTTTGAAGCGGTCGAACATACAAACAGGGGAATCGCAGTAAGATAATAAAAAAAGAAAGAAAGAAAGAAAAGAAAGATGCATATCGAAACCACTTCAAATAAAAAGAAATTATTTCCATTTATTGCTTCAGTTATCAATTTAGTGTATGAAGTTTAATTTCTATCAATTAAATTTTTTAATTCTGTATATAAGATATCAATAACTAGGAAATGCATACTCATGTGTGGTTCTATTTATAAGTTAAAAAGAAAAGATTTCATTTTATTTTATTTATAAGTAACATCATTAAATTCTTTACATGAATATATAATTTTATTTCTTGGAAATTATGTGTGTATATAGATATAAATGAGTAAAATTAGAAAATTAAATCCCAAAATAATCTGACGTGGACTAATAACCAGTTTAATTAATCTGAAAAACTAGGAAGAGGTCAAGATATGCCCTCCCAAAGTGCACGACAGGGCTTAGGCTCTCTATTTCTGATTATCCCGGGCCTCACATGCTAATTTCTAATCAACAAGAATGACATTTACCAGAAAGTCGTAATTGTGAGAGGAATTTAAAGTAGTTTCCGTGTTGAATCAGTCATGATTAAGACAAGTTATAGAGTTGCTGATGAGCTCAGACGATGCGAATGTCATTTCTTCAATTGAAGAAAACTACAATTTTGCTTCATAAGCAAGTTGAACGTGCGAACAGGGGAGTCTTAAAAAGATTCTGGTCCTTATTATTATTTTTTTTTACCAGCAATACTTTTCTGGTCCTTAATAGAAACCGTAATTAAAGAGTTAATATTAGCCTTATATGTGAGATTTATTTCACATGTGATAAAAAACAACAGAGGGAGAGACGCATACCAAAACCACTTCAAATTTTAAAAAAAAAAGTCATCTTCCTTCAGTTATCAATTTAGTAGACAAAGTCTAATTTTTATCAATTAAATTTCTAAATTCTGATACGAATAACTAAAATATGAGGGTAAAAATTTAGTTAAAATTGGTTTAAAATAATAAATGTGTAAAAAATTTATTTTGATTTTGGAAAAATATTCATACTTATGGAGAGATGGGGTGAATGAGCAGAAAAAAGAGGTGTGTGAGAGATCATGAACGCAATAATATAATTAATGAGGGAAAACATTACAAAAATGATTAAAATTTCAAACATCTTTATGCCGTGTTTGGATGGAAAAAAAAATAGGAGGAGAGAAAGTTAAGGGAAGGAAAAATATTACCACCTCCCTTGTTTAGATGGAGGAGAGGAAAAAAAAAAGAATAAATACGTTAATGACTAAAATACTCTGATCTCTCTAGCAAAATATATGATGTCCAAAATCACTCCCAAAATCTATATCTTCTAATTAATGTTTTTGTGATTAAAATATCACAGTTTTAACGATTTAAAAATCTTAAGCAACAATGTATATATTTTTGCAGTTTAAAAAAATTAACAATGTGTGCGTTATATGCATGAATGATAAAATTAACACGTGACGAATCAAGATTCGAATTCCTGTTGGGAGAAGTACTCACATTTAATGCCTGATAGTACCTCGAATAAAATTACCTTCAATAGAAGGATATCTACATGCTTTATGCTTTAGGGGAAAAAAAGATAAAATAGTTATAAGGAGGAGGGTGACAACTGCCACCGGGCCCACCGCACCGATCCTCTCATTGAATATTTTACTCATTTCTCATTATGCTTCCTCAATTGTGTTGTAAATTGATTTTATGTTCTAAAATGCCCTTAGTGCTACGCTATTTACTCATTTAACGAAATTGCCAATTCGACAGCTGGAAGGCGTACGGTGGAAGTTTTTTAATTTGTCCCATGTTTAATGAATAAACGTGTTTTTAGCCAACACATGCTACTGTCTCCTCTTACGCATCACCTCGTATTTGGAATTTACAAGTTTGTTTGAATTGTTATCCGCACATATTAAACATGAGTAAAATTATAAAGTCATTAAAAAATGAGATTTTAATTTTTAAAATTTGATCCTATTTTAATTTTGATCTTTTAAATTTGACTTTATTTTGATTTTGGTTCTTAAAATTCAAAACCAATAATTTTAGTTCATGAAATTTAACTTCATTTTGATCAGCCTAAATAATTTAGGTCTCTAAAATAAGAATCAAATTTTATGAACCAAAACCATTGATTTTAAGACTCAGGAATCAAAATCAAAATGAGATCAAATCTTATGAACTAAAACTACTAGTTTCAAATTTTAGGAAAGAAAGTCAAAATGAAGTCGAATGTCAAGAATTAAAGATGATATTAACTCTAAATTTTAATAGAGTTAATGACATTTAATATTTTTCTTAATTGCAATAAAACAGTTAGGAGTGACTATATGATTTTTCAAGAAAATGAAAAATCTCTTTTTGGTGGAATTTTTTAAGGGTGTTGTTGGAAACATGTTTGTGGAAAAAAATTTAATTGTATGATATAAATAGCCTAATAACAACATAATCTAATATTCTAATTAGAGAAACGGTTAGTTGTGCGGCTGGATATAAAATAAAAAGATATAACATTGAATTTCTTGATATATTTATTTAAGTTGTTTAAATTCGAATAAATAACTCATTTTTTCTTATTTAATGAAATTATTTTACATTTCAGTCTTATAACTAAAATATTTGAAGATTTAATATTTAAAAATGTATTATTATCTTTATAAGAAAAATATTTATTATTTATTTTACATTTTAGATTTAAAATGAAATGATATAACTTCTATAATTCCGAAAATCATGTCATTTTGGCAAAATGAAATTTTTGCAAAATTTTTGGAAGATGCTATTGGGAAGGTGTTCATGGAGAAAAATTTAATTATATGATATAAATAGCCTAATAACAATATAATCTAATATTTCTAATTTAACTTTTAATACTTTAATAGAAGAGCCCGTTAGTTGAGTAACTAGACACGTGTTGATAGAAAAGTTGCTGCATATTCTACTTTTATGAGAACATATTCATATGATATAAATAGCCTGATAACAAAATAAACTAGTATTTCTAATTTTTACTATTTTAACGGAACACATTGTTAGTTATATGGCTGGACACGTGTTGACAAAATGGCTGCTAACTACTCTATTTATATATATATATTTATTTATATCTCTATCTATATTGATGGTTGATGATAAATGTAGCCCAGGTCACTTTTCCTCCATTTATAGGATCTGAAGAATTCTCCCCCGCGCCCCGATATAATAGAAAGCGATAAAGGCTCCTTTGGCCCATAATACACGGTGACATGTCTATATCTCTGATCTGACAGCTATAACTATTCAAAACAATTCTCGCGGTTTGGCATCCAAATGAATGCCCATTCAAGGAAATCTCAGGGAATTAATCTAATCAACTAAGTTTGCCAAACAGTTATACCAATTCTAAGTCATGTTCGTTCCATACAAAATCATGCTTTCTTCACCATAATCCAAATGACTAATTTTGTTTTCCACTGAGGGGATCCAAGTCCTTGCTTCCGAGTTGCATATTAATAATACAAGAAAATTTTGGTTAAAAGTCGTCATTTAAAAATTTAATTAGCTAAAAAGAATATAAATTTGAGTGAGTACAATATATCATCAATAATGTGTAACAATCATCAATACGAAAATCACTTGTATACAACAAAAGATATGTTATACTCATGGATCATATTTACACGTATTCAAATTTAGGTCATTTTAGCTAATTAAATTTTCTAACATGGATCTTTCACCAAATTTCCCATAATATAATTGCTATTCCCATCCATTGCATATATATTTTCGATAGGAGATCATGATTATGACATCCGTGTGGATCTTATTTTCAGACATATTCATCATAAAGAATAAACATAACACGATGGTCTCAGTAAAGCCAACCAAGACCTGAAAAATAAGTCACAACCAAGCAAACAGTGGGGCAATATAGTCAATGGCCGGTGATCCCCAAGAATAAAATTATTATGTATGAAATGAATCTCTTTAAACAATTAAAAAATGAGAATCAGACACTTATATATCAATCCTCTATTCTGGGTGTGATTAGAATTTATGACCCATAGGGACAACTCTGATCTATTATAAATCTGACATCTCATGTATTATTCAAACAAATCTGGGACAAAGCGCGGTTTTAGCAGAAAATATTTAACAAAACCATAGTATAGAGCAAAACCAAATGTAGCCGCAGATCATCAGAGCCTAAACTCTGTTGGATACGTAGTAAATTCTAGGAAATTGTAGGCATGAGGGATATATGCATATATAGTCTCAATCTCAATGGAGACGAAAATAAACAAAAGGAGAATAAACCAAGGGCTATAATTACCTGTAATTTTTTTGTAGATAATTTTAATGAAAGGGTCCCACATGGATCCTGGGCGAAGAATTTGCAGAAAGCCGACAAAGAAACAACAGAAAAGGATATCTATATTTGGCCAAAAACTCTCAGTTTTAGGTGGTATATTTGGTAAAGCAATGAGCCAGTTTTATCATAAAGCTAGAAATATGGCTCTAATATTCATTGATGATGTTAAGAATCGTTTGCTCAAGATAATTGATACCTGTTTTTAACTATATTTGCTTAATCAACGTTCACAACCTCTTTGGACTAGAAGTAAGCGATGGAATAATACATTTTTCATCAATAAAAGTTCTTGGCATTGGTTGATATGACTGGAATGAACCAACATTAGGTTTTGAAATATCAGTTAATAAATTGAATTTGTTTGCTAGTTTTGCATCGCTGATTAGTATTGTTAATCTCATATATGATAATAATTGTAGTTAATGGCTGGATACAGGGCAAACTGTGAAGTAGCTTGAAGAAACCACTTGAACTACGTACGTTTGGCAAGACAGTATTTTGATCACAAACAGTATATGATATACATATAACAGTAAACATAGCAGGAGGTTCTTGTGGGTGGTAGTAATTCATGGTTCATAAATACTGATAAAGTTAAGCTCATTATCTTCTAAACGATCGGAACAGAGAGGCAAAGACGAAATAGATGAATGTGAACAGCCTTTACAAGGCTGCTTCATGCTCTGCTCTGCTCCCTGTGTTTAAAAAAAAAAGAAGAAGAAAGATTGAAGACGATGATCAAAGACAACAAAGTTCATCTCATTAGGTGACCTTAGCTACGTAGACGCTTTATACATAGAGACTGGGGAAGCTAGATAACTAACTTGGAGAGATTAAAAAAATTAGTTAACTTAATTATTTGTAACAAATATGTGTCAACTTCTTTAAATTATCCATATTCAATAATATACATTGGAATTACCCATGAGTGGAAAGACCTTATAATCAATAGGGATATTTTGATAACACATTATAAATTTGGAGGATAAAGTGAATTGAAATATGAGTATTATATTTAGAACCCTAATTTACATTTGCTTTTCTGGTAAAAAATGTTAAATTTACTTTTGCGGTGCTAGTTTGCTGCATGTATCGCTACTACCTTAATGTACATTTCGGACTATAATTCTTCTCAAGGGAATACATATGAAAAGTGTCCATTGATATGAACTATCTAGATTTATCCCTTTTTCCATTTAGATAATTTTGGTATCATATATTTTGATAATTAGATTGTTAACACCATTTCTTTTTGGACCTGAAAGAGATTGTTTGTTCCTTATCCTTGAACTCTTGAGAAAAAGCGATGGGTTTGGTAATTTCATAACTCAAATTGAATTCAGTTCCAAGAATGTAAATATAATACTTATTGCAAAGAAATACGTCCCTTTACATAATTATTTTGAGGAGTACAAAAATTGTATGAGAAAAGATATGAAACCAAAAGGAGCTAATAAGAACAAAGCAATCAAAAACAGCAATCCAAGACGCAACAGCAGCAGAGAGCAGCACAACTGTGATGAAAAAAAGAAAAGGAGACAAAACAAAGTTAATATCAGGTAATGATCAATTGGAAAAGAAATGAAGATTCATTTAAAAAAAATTTGAAAACAGAGATATTTTGGGAACTCACCATCCCTCCCAAAAACCATCACCCCTACTCGTGGTCTGTTGCGGAACACTCTGTTTTGGATCCCAAGAAACATTATCCTTGGAAGGATACCCCATTGGCGGGGGAGCACTCACAGTCGGCGGCAACGGATATGCCATCATCGGTGAAGGATATGACCCTACAAATTCATCATATAACATATATAATCTTATTAATTAATAATGTTAATCCCATTCACAAACACAATATAATGATATAGCACCGTGGTAGCTTGTTGTGAAAGAGAAAACTTACCCGGAGGATCTTGCTGATTGTAATGATGATTCATGGTTGCTAAATAATATTGAAGTGCGATGATCTTATGAACTATATGAAGATACAGGCAGACCTGAAAATAAGTTGAGATTGAGATGCTATATAGAATGCACACACACATAAATAGGCATAGGTGGGCGGCTATGAACAGTGCGAAAGCGCGGGGGAAAGGCAGATTTGGGGAAGGGATCGACCTTTACAGGTCAAAGGCTGCTTAATGCTCTAAATCTCCCTCTCAAAGTTGACAATATTATCAATTGTGCCTTTACCGTTTGAAATGAGAACCAAAGATGCAGACAAGAGAGGAATCATTCTGTGAGTAGCTTTATTCGCCGGGGTCCACCAAATGCAACTTCAACCCACTTTGGTTATTTAGGCGTTACAAATAAATCCGAAAAGCAGTGTTCTTAAATAAATATTGATGATAGGAACAGAGAGGAGATTGCCAAGTTACACGCGCACAAATACATATGGGCTGGAGGTGGTGGCTAAGGTAGCTTAATGGAAGGTTCAAATGATATTGTGAAAGCTTTGACCAAAAAAAAAAAATGATATTGTGAAAGCGCGTGAAGAAATATGAATGTGAATAGCCTTTATAAGGCTGCTTCTTGCTCTGTTTCCCTGTATTTATTTGCCCAAAGGACACAAAAAAGATAAGGAGGCAGACCATGAGAAGAAGGGAAAAAAACATTAATCATGATGACCAAAGACAACTCAGTTACTCCCTCCATTTATAAAAAGAACAAATCATTTCGTCCCATTAGGCGGGATCAGTTGTAAGATCAAGGAAGTAGTAACAGAGTATTTGGGAGAATTACTTGGACGTGAGAAAGCAGTAAAGTTTAGGCATTTATGAAGCGGCCAAACTTGACCAATTGAGTTTGCTACCTGCAAGTCACAAGACACGAAACGTATTTCATTACAACATTTTTAACAAAGATTAACTTATATATGCCAATTTTCTTCGTATATTTTAGATGCTAAAAGATTGTGAATCTAGATTACATTTACTTTGCCGCTAAAAAATAGGGTTAAGGTGCAATTTTTACCTTGATCTTATTTTTAACGCGTAATTTTGCCCCTGATCTTTCAATAGTGCAATTTTGTCTTTGATCTTATTTTTGAAGGGTAATTTTGCTCTTTATCTTTTATTTTTGAGGTGCAATTTTGTTTCTAATATTTAAATTGCATAAAAAAATATCAGGGTCAAAATTGCATCATTAAAAAGATGAGAGGCAAAATTGCACCTGAAAGATAAGATTAGAGTCAAAATTGCATCTTAACCCTAAAAAAATATTACATTTACTTATGCCTGTGGTACTAGTTTGCTGCATATATCGTTGCCACCTTAATGTACAGTTCGAACTTGAATTCTTAAGGGATATATATAGATATATGGAAGGTGACCATTGATATGAACTATCTAGATTGAACCCTTTTCTCATTTAGAGAACTTTGATATTATATATTTTTATAATTAAATTGTTAACCATTTTCTGTTTTGGACCTAAAAGAGATTGTGTGTTCCTCATCCTTGAACTCTTGGAAAAGAGTGCAAAACTGAGTTTGATAATTTCATAACTTGAATATGGTTCCAAGAATGTGAATATAATATTTTTCCGGTTCTTAATATATAATCTAATTTAAGAGTTTATGTTAGTCTTATATGTAAGACCTATTTTAAATGTTTATTAATTTTTTTCCAAATTAACCTTATTGATATTCCTCCACTAATAGGGAATTAATAAAAATGTTTAGTGTGCTTTAGAAAAAAAATCATATTAACTAATTTAACTAACATCTTTAATATACTCAAATTAGTTAATTATGACCAGAGGAGTACTTATTACAAGGAACACATCCCTTTACAATATTAGTCCAAGAAGTACAAAATTGTACGAGAAAAAATATGACACCAAAAGGGACTAACAAGAACAAATAACAGAAAAAGCAATCAAAAGCAGCAATCCAAAACACAGCAACAGCAAAGAGCAGCACAACTGCAACGAAGAAAAGAAAAAGAGAAAGAACAAAGTTAATATTGGGGACTAAATTTAAATAGAAACAAAGAAACCAATAAAAACTCATTAAAAAAAGAGATATTTTGCCAACTCACCATCCCTCCCAGAAGCCATCACCCCTACTTGTGGTCTTCTTGAACACTCTGTTTTGTGTCCCAAGAAACATCATCCTTTGAAGGATACCCCATTGGTGGAGGAGCACTCACAGGCGGGAGAGCCGGATATGCCATCACCGATGAAGGATATGACACTGCAAATTCATCATATAACATATGTAATCTCATTAATTAACAATGTTAATCCCATTTACAAACACAATAGAGTGATATAGTAGATTAGTAGCATTTTGTGGAAGAGAAAACTTACCGGGAGGATCTTGTTGGTTGTAATGATGATTCATGGTTGTTGAATGCGATGCTCTTCTGAACTATGTGAAGATGCAGGTAGACCCGAAAATGAGATGAGATTGAGATGCTATATAATATAATGCGTGTGTGTGTGTGTGTGTATCGGTATAGGTGGGTGAATGCTGGGCGGCTATGAACTGTGTGAAAGCGCGTGGGAGAAGGCAGATTCGGGGGAGGGTTTGACCTTTCCATGTCTAAGGTTGCTTAATGCTCTGTGTTTACCTCTAAAAGTTGACAATATTATCTACTTTGCTTTACCATTTGAAATGAGAGCCAAATATATAAACAAGAGAGGGATCAAACACCATAGTCCCATAGAAAGTCTTTTCAGATTATTTCTTCCTTTGTCCAAAAAAGGTTGCAGAGTTCAGAAGCTTCGTATTCACCTTGGACGATTCATCGTATGGTCAACAACTATAAATGCTTCATTACAAGTCTAATAATTAAAATCGACTTCAACGTAGAGAAAGATAAGGAAATGGTTCAAACATATCAAGTTATTAATTTCCTTTCAGATCATGAGGAGACTTCAAATCGGCAATCTTTTGGTTATTATGATTTTAGAGAGTTGATCACCATATATTACATGATCGAAATCTTATGAACTACAACCAAAAGGCTTTTCATTTTTGCCTCCACTAATACAAATGGCTTGTTATAACTCTCTCTAATATGAGGAGTTTGTAATTGCAAATGTAAGGGTTTGAATAAAGAACTATAATGACACCTAGAAAAAAAGACACCAAATCCTCCAGCAAAACTCCATAAGAAGGCCTCTTGAAAATTTTCTGCTTCCACATGATGAGGTTGCTTGTTTCTCCCTTCTATTGATTTATCACTGGATGAGCAATTCTTCTGTAGGAAGGACCACATAGAAAAGAATTCCCTTCATAACTACTTGATCCAAAAGTTGAAAATTGATTTTTCATGTCAAGTGTCATTCTAGATAGATTATTATGAGCCACAGAAAAGACAGACAGAGTATAATTGAGTTACTTGTAGGAATGTGGCCCCTCAATTTGTTGTGTGAAAGATCTAGGCTCTCTATCTGCTTAAGGTTGGAAAATATTTCTGGGATAAGCCCTTTCAAATGATTGTTTGACAAATTTAATGTATGAATAGTATTTAAGCATCCAATTTGTGAAGGAATTTCACCTATCAACTGATTACTTGAGAAATCCAAACCAGACGTGAAATGTAAAATGCTTCTTTTGCAAGATTCATACCTTCTTTTTGATATGAAATCTATTTCTTGGGACAACAAGGGGGTATTGGCCAAAGTAGAAGGTAGAGGTCCAATGAAATGGTTGTTTTGCAAATGCAAGTACTTCAACAATGGCATGTTCAAACAGCTTGGCAAAGAGCCAATGAATTTAGTTTAGGAATGGTTACATCACTACAAAAAAACATGTTTTTAGTGACGGAATTTTTTATTTAGTGACGAAATTAGCGATAGATTAGTGACAGAAATGGATTAGCGACGAAATTTGTTCCGTCGCTAATTCCTTTGTCGCTAATTGATTAGTGACGGAATTGAAATTCCATCACGGACTAGCGATGAAAAATTCCGTCTCTAATTACTAACAGAAATTTTTCGTCGCTAATCCGTCGCTAATTCTTGACAGAAATTTTCGTCACAAATTAGAGACGAAAAAATTTTGTCACTAATTAGCGACAGAAAAGTTCCGTTGCTAATCCGTCACTAACCCAATTTTTGAAAAAAAATAATAAAATGCCACGTGGCACCTCTACCATTCGCCACGTCATCACCAGTGACCACCTCCACGTGTACTACCACCTCACCTCTGCCTGCCACGTGTCGTCATCACATAATTCCCTCTTCAAAGTGACTTCTCCATGACTCAAACCCAGGACCTCCTCTGTGCGCAAGTGCGGCTTTATCAATTGAGCTGCAATGAACCTGTTGATTTATTATGTAAAATTAAATATATATATATATATATAAAATATTATTTTACACAAACAATTATATATATACATATATATTATTAAAAACTAAAAATATACTATATGATAATTTTAATCATAACTATTTAATGAAAAAATAATTTTTAAATATTTGTTTTACTATTTGTTTTTTTTTTTATAACTAAAAGACAGAAAACCGAATTACATTAACCCATGTCCCTGGACATAGCTACCCGTAGTTCTTCCGAAGCGTGAGTTATCATGTGGAAGCCGATCATAGTTGAGAGGCCCTCCTTGGCGAGTATATCAGCTGCTACATTATACCATCGCCTCACGTGCCGCACTTTAACCTGCCAGTCTCGACTTAGCATCCCTTGAGCTTCCTTGACTAGGACAGAGTCGTTGTGGTGTTGGCTAACCTCCCCAAGCAGCAGTGATATTGCTTCAGTGGAATCCGATTCAAGAATGACATCTCGAAACCCCATATCCCACGCTACTTTCAGACCGTGCATGCAGCCCCATAGCTCTGTTGTGAGTGTGTCACCCTCCTGGAATCTGAATATGAAGCCTCTTATGAACCTTCCTTTGTTATCGCGGATCAATCCTCCACATGCAGCAGCTCCAGTCTGGTGGGAGTAGGCACCATTGACATTAACTTTGATTTGCCCTGGTTGAGGTGGATGCCATCGTTCCTCCCTGACCCCCGTTAGTGACACTGCTGACCTTCCTCTATGGAATTTGGCATGTGCTTCGCTTACACTGTGAGTCATAGCTTTAATGCTTCCACACAGCATGGCATTAGAGGTCTCCTTTCGCTCAAACAGCAAGCGGTTCCGTCTCCTCCAAATCCACCAGCACGCAATAGCGAAGGTTGCTCTCCATTCTTCCACTTCTGTGCTACCAGTCTTAGTAAGATTCCATCTAAACCATTCGTCAAATCCCAAGATGTTGAACCTTCTCCAGATTGCAGGGTGCACGAGCTCGCGCCACAACTTCTTTGTCAGATGACAGTCACGAAGTACATGAAGAAGATCCTCAGTGCAACTACTACAAACCGGACATGCATCATTACCGCTGAGCCCACGCTTTCATTTGGAGGCATTCGTCAGCAGGCGTTTATGAGCAGCGGTCCAAAGGAAAATGCGACACCTCTCCGGAATTTGTAGCTTCCAAAGCTTCCTCCAAAACGGGTCTTCAGTAGCTTCCAGTGGCCTTAAGGACTCATATGCTGACTTCACAGAAAACTCACCACTTTTATTCCGACGCCAACGAACAGACCCTTTGTCGTCAAGCTCAAGCCCCTCACTAACTCTTTTCCACGTGTTTTTTATGCCTAACCAAATGTTTGAGCCGATCTGTTGGATTCAATTTTTGGGATAAGGTCATTCCCACACTTATATTTGTCTCTCACCACCTTAACCCACAGGTCATCTCGGCGCCTCACAAGATTCCAACCCAGTTTCATCATATAAGACTGATTCTGATGATTTGCATGGCGCAACCCTAAGCCACCTCGATTCTTCGGTAGGCACACATCATCCCAGGCTACCAAGTGAATTTTCCTGCGATCCTCTGAGCTACCCCACAAAAAATTCCTATTCAACCTATCGAGATTCTAGCAGGTAGAAGAAGGAAGAAAGGACGTTTGCATCGTGTAACCAGGAATCACCGACGACACTGAGGATATGAGCGTGTGTCGTCCAGCTAGCGACAACGCACTCGCTCTCCACTTAGATATGCGGGATTTAACTCGGTCAATGACATCGCTGTAGGTGTCCTTTGTGACCCTCGTATGGTGAAGCTTGACACCAAGATATTTCCCAAGATCACCAGTTTGAGTAAACCCCAAGAGATCACCTATCTCCTTGCGTCTATTATGATAAACATTCGCAGAGAAGAAGAGTCTCATTTTTGCAGCATTTACCTTCATGCCCGAACTAGTGCAGAATGTATGCAAGCATTTATTTATCTCCTCCGCTTGATTGACGGAAGCTTCCAAGAACAAAATGATGTCATCAGCAAAAAGTAAGTGGGAAATATGTGGGCCAGTTCTTGTAAGTCGAATGGGATGCCATTGCCTTTTCGCTATACTTTCCTATATAAGATGGGTTAGTTTTTCAATGCATATAACAAAAAAGGTAGGGAGAGATAGGATTGCCTTGTCTCACACCCCGAGAAGGCAAAAAATTTTCTGCTTTATCTCCATTCCAGAGAAGCTGCATACGTGCCGAAGCCACACAATTTGAAATGATGTCTCTAAAATGAGTCGGCAAGTTCAGTTCCTCAAGACAAGAAGAGAGAAACCCCCAATTCACTCGATCGTATGCTTTCTCCAAATCAATCTTGATTGCCATAAAACCTTTTTTCCCCTTCATTGTGCGCATGGAGTGTATGACTTCTTGTGCCACAATAATATTCTCACTACTATGTCTTCCAGGGACGAAGCTACACTGATTGGGAGATATGATCCGAGGGAGAATAGGTTTGATCCTATTAGAAAGAATCTTGGTTATTATCTTGTAAACTACGTTGCACAACCCAATTGGTCTGAGGTCTTTTAGTGTTTCTGGGGGTTCTTTCTTTGGTATAAGAGCAATCAGTGTGCCATTAATATCCTTGACCTTCTGGGGGTTCACAAATATCTGTCGCACACAAGTGTGGATAGCATTCCATACTGTCTCCCACTGGTTCTGGTAGAATAATGCATTAAAGCCATCTGGCCCTGGAGACTTCAAGGGACCCATACTGAACAAAGCAGTCTTGATTTCTTCCAAAGTCACGTCCTTCCCGCATGCATGCAGTTCATGATCCTCAATCTTCGGAAAAGAGATGGTACATTCTATCAAAGGCCTCTCTACTTGTTCCTCCATGAAAAGATGCGAGAAGTAGCTGGTTGCCATATTTTTAAGTAAGGTCGTGTCATACACCCACTCTCCATCATCTCCACGCAAAGCTTCAATCCGATTGGCTTTCCTTCTACTATTTGCACGTGTATGGAAATATCGCGAGTTCCGGTCTCCAAATGCCGTCCACTCCAAACGCGCTTTCTGGGCCCATAAAAGGGATTCTTGGTGCAGAACATCTTCTAAGCTCTTCCACAGCTGACATTGCACCTCCTCAAGATGAGGAGTTGACCCTTGACGGGCCAGAGCACCGTTGATTCCATCTAATCTCCTAAGTATGCTCTTCTTGCGTGCCTCAGTGTGCCCGAAGATCGTCTTGTTCCAGTTTGAGCAAGCTTGAGCGAACCTTTCAATATTAGCTCCCCATTCCATCTCCTCGTGCCATTCTTTCCTCACAAACTCATCGAAACTATCATGAAGAACCCATGAAGCAATAAAACGAAATGGTCTATTTGGTCGCCCCACATTGGTCGCACGGTCAAGACACAGTAAGAGGGGTCGATGGTCAGACTTGAAAAACGGTAGATGAGTGACCACAGCATTCGGGAAGGCATGGTTCCACTCCTCGTTTACAAGAACACGGTCAAGACGAGCTTCCGAGCTCCCTCTCTTCCATGTAAAACTAGGGCCTGTGAAACCCAAGTCCAGCAAGCACTCCTTTTCCGTCCATGCTGCTAAGTCTCGATCAAAAGAGAGCCTGAAAGGTGCTGAAGACTTTCTCTCACCATCAAGGAGCGTGGCATTCAGATCACCTGCTATCGCCCAAGCTTCTCGGGTGTGAGGTTTTAAGCGTGAGAGCGTATTCCAAAGGCCACGTCTAAGGACACAGTTCGGACTAGCATACACTATCGTTAGCATGCATGACATATCTGATGAGGTCCACAGCTGAAAATGGATGAACTGGGCATTTCGTTCGACCACATGAATATTTTTAATATGAGAGTCCCACATGCACCAAATCCCCCCACTATATCCCTCTGAGTCAACCACCGCAGAAGAAGTGAAGCCGAATTGACGGATTCTATTAGCCGACAAATCCTTCGAGCAGCGAGTTTCCAAGATAGCCATAAAGTTTAACTGGTAGTGTTTCTTGATTTCCCTTACTAGTGCCAGAAAACTTCAGGCTCCAGTTCCTCTTGAATTCCATACTAACCAATTCATAAAGAAACAAATGGTTGATGCTGCATCTAGGCTACCCCTGTACCCGCCTCCATAGAGTCATCCTTAGCATTAACCAAGGGCAAGAAGGAACCTTCAACTGGACCTGAAGAATTAGAGACCATCGTAACCTCAACACCCAAGGACGACGTATGAGGCTCTACAGTGTTGACACCATCCTGAGTACCTCCGTTGTAGTTCAAGCTCGGCCCAAGAACTGTAGTAGTTCCCAGATTAATTTCAGATGAGTTCTCTTGCAAGGCCTTAAAAGGATTGTCAAACCTGACAGGTTTATCGCCAAGGCCCACCTTTTCTTTTTCTTTCCGAAGTACATGCGTTGGGGCCACATTTTCCTTTCCACGTCGCCTCCCTTTTGCCACGTTCTTCCTCTTAGTGCCCACAAGAATCCATTCCAAATGATTTAAATCCTGATTAAGGCCTGTTCTATTTTTATCCGTATCTTTCTGGAACCTGTCATTATTCCCCTTTTTATTTCTGTCATTAAGACCTTGTTTGTTATCTGTTGACCTGGAGGCAATCCCGCGATGATCCTGTTTGGCCGCTGATTTTGGGACGTTAGCAATATCCTGGTCTAATCCCACTATTTCCGAGATCGACATCCTACCCCGAAAATCACGCTTCAAAATTCTCAACTTTCCAAACACGTTATTCGACATTGAACTCTTACCGGCAGTAGAGGACACACCAGTCTCCGATAGTTGCTGGTTTAGCATGGAAGGATCCGGGCACTTTCCATCCTCACCATCCTCTGCCTGCCTTCTATTGTTCTTATCGTTCTGCCCTTTATCGTGCCCTTGAAAAAATTCTGGACACTTATCCTTCTGATGACCATATCTTCCACAGTGGAAACAAACCATATGGAGCCCCTCGTAAACAATTGGTCGATCCTCTCCAAATGCATCAAAAAACGGTAATAATGGCTGTTGTAAGTCAATTTCAACACAAATTCTTGCAAACCCTCCCTTATCATAGACGGAAGTAGAGCGGTCTATTTTAATCGTTTTCCCAACCATATTGCCAATGCGTCGGAGAGATTCAACATTGTAAAATTCAACCGGTAAATCAGGGAGCCTAATCCAAGCAGTTATTTTCCTTTGCACGTCTGCTTTCCAAGGGTTGAAGTTTGGGCGCCACCTCTGGACAACAAGGTAGTGATCATCAATCATCCATGGGCCCTCTTGATAAGCATAGTCCCCGTCTTCTCGTGTAGTAAAAGAGACAATGTTATATCCATTACTGAGAGGAATTATCTTCATAGGACCTTTCGATCGCCACATACGTTTGACCCGGTCCCTAATAATATAGTTAGGGATCTCAGCACCCAAAACTTTTACAATCAAAGAGTTCATCCAAGGTTTGCACCATGCCGTATACTCCTCCGCAGAAAACTCAAATTTTGGTGAGCGCCCTTCCTTCAAGCAGTCCGATACCTCATCCTCCTCAGACCCTCCCTCTTCGCCTCGAGCTTGTTCAGTTCTGTTTTGTTGGTTAAAGTACGCTTTCCAACCATTCACTATATCCTCTTCTTCATCGTGCTGAACCAGATAGCCGGCGACACCTGGTGACAAGAGCTTGTCCTTATACGAGGTTGTGGTATCCCGTCGTCTTGAAACAAAGCCCTCTTGGTGCCCCGCCATTTGCTCCCTACTATTTGTTTCCTCGACCCTTCCAAATACGAACCCTCCACCCAACAGGCCATCTTTATCTCTCGTGTTTCCAATTCCGCCCTCACTATGATCCCCTCCACCCTCAGTCCCGCCGTCTCCTTCTGTCGTCTCCACTCTCATCTCGCTTTTTTTTTACTATTTGTTTTATAATGATTTATTTTTAAAAAAATATTTTTAATATAATTTTAATTTCTAACTACACTAATTTTGAATTTTAAATCATAAATAATTTTTTTATAAATATTTTTTAAATTTATTTTTTAATTAACATTGTTAAGATATACAATTTAATTATATATGTATTATATTACACTATATTATATTATCTATATGTGTTTTATATATTTGAACAAAATCATTTACAATTAGTCAAAAAATCTTGTTATTGAAAAAATAACCACTATAATAAAATCTAATAAATTATTCTATATAAAAAATTAAATGATTTGAATAGGTTATGATAAACAGTATTCTCCTACTTGTATATATATCCTATGTAATTTATTTTCTTAAAATTCTTTGTATATACCATTTGTTTTTATATTGAAGACCAAAATTAATCTATATCATGGGTATTAATTATATCATAATTAAATTTTATTGTTTAATGAGTGAAATTCAAACTTCACTTCAATATTAGTTTGCATTCATATAAATTTATTTTTTGGTTTTGAATTTCTATCATATATTGTATATTTCAATATATTGTACATATGATAAAATTATTTCTTTCTTATATCAGTTTGTATAAGAAATTTATTAATATTCTTATTATATTTTTTAATTATTATTAATAATCAAGAGGAATTTATTTTAACAAAATATAAACAAGTTTTCTAAGAAATTGTGTTTCTATTTTCAGTATATACATAATGATAACATGAATGATGACGATATCTTCATTAACACAAACTCCACAAATATATCAATTTATTTTATAATTAAAAATATTTTTAAATCATTATATTCTTAATTGTTATTATATAAATTTTTGTAAGATTATAATTTAAGATAATGAAATTTAAAATTAGCGACGGAATAGAATTAGCAACAGAATTAGTGACAAAAACTTCTGTGACAAACAATTTAGCGACGGAATTAACGAAGAAAATTTTTGACGGAAAAAATTCTGTCGCTAAATATTTATTGATGGATTTTTTGACAGATTAGCGATGAAATTTAGCAACAAACAAAAATTCCGTTGCTAATCCATCACTAATATTAGCGACGGAAAAATTCCCTCGCTAATCCATCGAAAAAATTAGTGACAGAATTTTCGTCGCAATTCCGTAAAAAATTAGTGACGGAATTTGTTTCCGTTACTAATCAACTATTTTTTTGTAGTGAATATGTAAGTTTAGTTAGGTTGAAAAAGCATTCTGGCAATGAACTTGTTAAGGAATTCTTAGACAAAATGACGTAACTCAAATGTTGAAAGCTTCCAATCCAGTTAGGTATTTCACCAAATAATTGGTCTAATATCCAACATTCTTAATTTAGTACTATTAATTATCCCAGCACTTGAAAATTTTCCTTTGAAGTTATTGTTGCTGAATAATAAATATGTGAAATTTGATCTTATGGGTAGATATGGGCCACTCAAGTTGTTGTTTGACAACTTTAGAAACCTCAATTCATTGTTATCCTGACCAAATTCTTGAGGCAAGTAACCAATCAAATTATTATTTAACAAGTGAAGATCATTCAGTTGTCTCATTTCACATATTGAAGCTGGGAATTGACCTTGCAATCAAGTTGAAGACATATTAAGAGAAATCAAGTTGGGAAAAATGAAGCCAATATGAGAAGGCATTATGAGAAGGCATTTCATCTCTGATGGGGTTAGATGAAATATCAAAAGATTCCACGTGAATCAATCTTGAAGTGGAATTGAGTTCAAAGGCACTAGTGAACAAGTTGTGAGTCAAATTGAAATAATTTAGTTTTGTGTTGTTTGCTAAAAGCCAGGATGGGAAGGTTGCTGAAATATTTTGGTCCCTAAGGTGTAGAAGTTGCAAGTCATATTGATGAAGAAGAAAGGTAGGCATTTTGTTATTGTTCACTTCCCTCAGACTACAATTACAGATGCTGAAAAGTCTCAATTTGAAGAAAGGGATAAATGGGGGATTCTCAGTTTCAAGCTTGAGATTGGCGTTACAGCATGAAATGCCAAAGATCTTAAGGTTGGAGTGATTAGCAAGCAAAGAGAATGAGAATGAGCCACTAAAATTGTCATCAAAAAGAAAAATTGCTTCTAGGGACATCAGAAAAAGAAAAAGTGAGAAAGGAAAGGTGACAAATTCAATTATTTTTATATATTTTGATATCTTTAATATGGGTTTTGTCACCTTAATTAGTCCTTTTGGCTTTAATTGATTATTAATTAATTTAATATGTTTTATTTTGAATTATCACTTTAGAAGGGCAAAATTGTCATATTTTGGTTTAATTGTGATTTATTGATTTTTAAGAACAATTAATGCTACTTTACTCTTGAATTTTGATTACAGGTTTTTGGAAGATTTAAAAATAAAAATAAAAATAAAAGAAGAGAAAAAAATAAAAGAAAAGAAAAATAAATTTAAAAAAAAAGAAACAAAATAATAATAAAGGGGCGCTTTGCTCCCATCCCTAAATCAATTAATCATCATCATCTTCAGCCGAGACAGGGACAAGGTGGGCGACGGCAGGGAAAAGAAAAGAGCGAACAGAGCAGAGGCATACGAGAGGGAACCAGAGCTCGACGGCGACAGGCCAACCTTTAGCATTCTCCCGGCATCACCTTCATCTTCTTCCCCGCGTATTCTTCCTGGTGGCAGAGAGGAGGCGAGAGAGAGTGAAGACCAGAGGAGTTGACGGTGAGCAGAACGGCGAACCAGAGACCAGCGACGTGAGAGGCAGACCAGAGGAAGCTCGATGGCGAAACCATCCATCATCTTCCATATCCACTCAAATCCATTACCATCATCGATTTCGCCTTCTCCTTCTTCTCGGCGTGACAGAACCAGAGACCAGAAAACAAAGAGCTTCCACGGTGAAATCACACCTCCAGATTCCATCTTCATTGTTCTTCATGGCTGAACCGAATTGGAATTTTGGCGGAGCTGTAATGATGCTTAGGAGCAGCTAAATCCTTTCAATGCTCTAGAGCAATGGTTATGGTTTAAACTTAGAGCTTCAAAGGGGAGTTTTAACTCTTCCAATCTTTACTTCTTTCATTGTAATTATGATTTCTAGGTCTTAGAATGAATTTTATAATGTTTGAATGTATTGTGATGATTTATATTTATATTGAGATTGGTTGTAGCTGCTGGAATCTTTGATTAGCATTTGACATTATGCTGTGATTAACTTTAATTTTCTTACATGGTACTTGATTAGACTATGTTTTGAAATCATGATGAATATTCAGTGGTAATTTAATGTAGCTTGATTATTGAACTAAAAATGTTAATTGTCTTTCTTTGATTCTCTTTAGCTAATTGTGAAACAGTTTCATTGTGAGTAATTAATATGCAAGGTAGCTTGGTATTGATTATTCTAATTAAACCAAGTCTAAAGAGTGGCCCTTAGAGTCTTTTGAATTTAGCTAACTCCTAAATTAATTAAAATAATAATAGCCTTAATCATTATGCTAGAGGATTGCTTTTCCATTTGCTGTCACTTGTTAATTCTCTTTGCTTACTTCATTCATATTCATTTTATAAACTAAAAATCTAAAAATTATTTATTTATTTTGCATCCTTTTAAATTTTCTCAATTAGTTAGTTAAAAAAAAATTAATCCCTTTCCAAGTCGATTCTTTATTTTTAATACTTAGTTTGCTTAGGATTTTAAATAAAGACTCTTCAAAGTGAAACGACCCGAGTTTTGCACTATATTTATTGTTTGGATTTATTTTTATCAGAAACCCCAAGACAAATGACAAAGGCTCTCATCAAAAGGTTCCTTCAAAATGATTTTTAACAAGACGAAGTTCACGTAGAGGCGTATTGCTAAGTCACATAGGAAGTTGCCCCTCAAATTCATTGTAGGAAAGATCCAATGCTACAAGATTCTTTAGATTGCAAGAGCCTTCTGCAACACATACCATTTTTATTTATTAAAATTATTTAATCAGTTCATCAATTAAAAAATTGATAAAACTTTGAAGTGATCTTAAAGCTTTCAACTTTGAGATTAACTGACATTTTTTAAAACTGGTTTCTATGGGCTAAATTTACCCTTATCTACTTTGATCACATTTAAACTAAGAATTTCATGAAAAAATATGATTCGTACCTTGTTGTGGCAGTGATCCAGTCAGGTTTTTAAAGCCTATTGACAAGTGGGTGAGGGAACCAAGAGACATAATAGATTGTTCTGGAAGACTACCCTCCAAGTTATCTAAAGCACGCACCAGAGACTTAAATTAAGTGAATGAGAAAGATATGTCAAATGCCAAATGGAAATGTTCATTGAGCAAGTTTCTAACAATATATATAGACACACATCATGGCATGTTGAAGAAGCTATTTGGATGGATCATTTAATCTAAATAAAATGTTTTAATGAATTGTTCTGCTATTTCTTAGTCTTTATACATTGTCAAAATTTATTCGCCATTTATCTCCTTGCATGTTTAGTCATGTGTCCATAAGAAAATCGTCATCTCATTCACCTCTCAATATTCTCAAGAATCTCTAAAGTTTGACTAACCGTTCGATTCTCTAAATAAAGATACGTAAATTCATCGGTTGAGAAATTGAGATGATTATATGACGGCAAATATGTGGATGAGTAAATTAGTAAATATGATATCAATTGACTTCGGAACAAAGCCAAGCAATTAAAAATAGAAACTTTCGTGAATGCACTTGAGAAAAGTTGCCTAAAAGTAGATAAACTTTCTATGCTCGATTCAGCAATTAACATATGACATTTAAAAGAATCTAGAAGATAGAGATTTTGCACCGAATGATGGGACTTTTGTGAGCTTATTATCTTCTAAATCCAAGTCTTCCAAGTTGGCCAGCCTAATATCACCAAACAGCCCTGCTCCACAAACAACACGTGCTCATTTACTATGAACATGTTACTGTGTAAAAAGAATTATAAAAAAAAATCATATGTATAATTAA